CGATTTTTTTCCCAGGGAAATGAAAAAATCACAACTAAGAAAATTATTACTCAGAAAATGAAATTATGACTACTGAATGACACAGACTCCAGTAGGACCATTTTCAGTAGGGGAAAGGTTCTCGGAAGGCTTAGAAGAAATCTAAGGGGGTTTGACTCATAAATTGTAAGTTATGAGAAATTTGGAACATATGCTGTAAATTTTCTTAAATTTCCAAGCAACTGAGGTATAGAGACCACAGCTGAATATTCAATTGGAACTTACATGTGGGAGCATAACTGACATACACATGTAACTGTCACAAACCCAAAGTAAGTGGAAATTTTATTCTAGATCTAGACAAACAGATAAATGTGAATTTTAAAAACTTTGAAGAAAAATTACTCCTCTATTTCAAAAATATAACTGCAGTACAAAGAAAGTACGGTGCACGTATATTGAGTGTGTCAGAATTCTAAGCTGGGCCTGGTTATGCCTGGGATGAAAAATCAGCCAAACTTGGGAAAAGGTGCACATCACTTGAAGGAAATGAAAAGAGATTTTAAAAGTGATGATCAAACAAGTGAAAAATGCAATGCAAGGGAGACTGTGTAAATGAATGCACGAACGCAGTAGCTGGGGGCAAACTGGTCTAGAGGCACTGGTCATACTTTGCATGTACACACACCAACATGCACACTGTATTTCATTAACATGCAATAACCTCCCACTCAAAATTCAATCGTGTACACGGTGCTCACCGTCATTTCACCCACTCACCAAACTGACACAACAGAAGATCTCTCCAATATGCACAGTTTCCACATTTGACTCAGCCTGCACAGCAAACACACGAGAGAACACAATTGTGAAGGCTCCAAGTTGCATGAACAGTGAAACTGAAGTGACTGTTACGGCATTCACCAAATTTGTGCACACAATGTCATATCAATCTCTGAAAAAAAACCAAAAACCAATTCTTCAACGTAAATTAAGCCAGCAGTTAACACAAGTAGGCCCCGAATGACAGTACCGAATCGGTGTACGTGTAATAGAATTGTTAGAAGAGAATTGAGACAAAGAGTCGACAAACTCAAAGTAAACAGTGCTGACAGCCTGGATCGCCATGAACAGAAAAAAAAAGAGCCTTATCAATGTCTTTGTGATCAATGCACAACTCCAAGGAGACCAAATTTAATCACGACCCCGCAATGTAGCCGAGAATCCTTTGGGAAGCGGCAGCGAGAAGAAATGCCCGTCCTAAGTAGGGGGAAGGAGAGCCCCAGAGAAATTACCTGTAGATCAACTGGAAACTCACGCAATCAAATAGGGACTGATGAACCCAGTACGGGATGAACCCAACATCGATGTTACACGTGGGATTTGAATTTAGGGTCAGAAGGTGAATCAAACGTCACAGCACTTCCATTATTCAAACAAACCTGATTTCCTTTTTCAGATGATCAATCATTCAAGATGAAAACTTGCTTGTTTAGACATTCAGGAAACAAAACATGCTTCCATTGTCACAACCTTGAATGGGACCAATGCCCACAGCTGCTCAAATGAAAAAAATACTAAACAATAACAACAAAAATGCATCCCCAAACTGATGGATCAGAGAGCAACAGCTGCAATTATCAGAGGCAACAACTCCTGAAAAGGCAGCCAGTGACTCAAGAGCTAAGTGCACTCAAAGCCGACATATCTAATTCCAAAGTTCATTCACAACTGTCACATTTTGGTCCCTCTGTGGACGTTGTGTCTAATAGGGCATGGATATATACGTACCATCGACATCCCTTCAGGCCTTAACGTCCTATTCAAGCACACTGGTTCCCATAGCGCAGAGTACCTGCGAGTAACTGGTCATTGCTTGGGCCTTCGTGTGGGCACATGGCAAGACGGCAGCTGTGCATTTTGGGTGTTACAGTAAATAGGGGTGGGGTTCCCCCCTGCATCGTGTACAGTGTAGCACCAACACTGGCCATGTTCTAAGGCTGGGTAACTGTGAGTAACTGGTCATTGCTTGGGCCTTCGTGTGGGCACATGGCAAGACGGCAGCTGGGCATTTTGGGTGTCAGAGTAAATAGGGGTGGGGTTCCCCCGTGCATCATGTACAGTGTGGCACCAACACTGGCCATGATCTAAGGCTAAGGTGAATCAAATAATTGAATATCCAAATATCAAACCTTCCTCTCAATCGAATATTCGACTTAAAAATCACATCCCAACAGAAGCAGATGGCCAGGGTATGGTGGACCCCCTCACTGACTTTCAGCAAAAGGGGTGTCATTCCCAATAATTAGAAAGGATAGGAATCCAAGTGAGATTAGGCCCTAACTTGGGATTTACTTCCTTGCAGCCAGATCACATGTACCACAAAAAGCATAATGAATAAAACATGAAAAAAGTCAATTTTTGGGCCCAGGTTTTTCTACACACGCATCAAATACCTGGGTACATTTAAGTTTGCAGGCAACTCCTTAGAAAGAAAATGATTTTGTAACTCAATGATTGTATTTTTCCCCTTATTTCGATGATTTTCATCTTCTGAAAATTGGAATTTGAAATGAAACATTCAAGTTTGGCACGCAATATTCTGCACAGCCCTACCTACATGTAGTTCTTAAGTGCAAACCATGCACACCATCAAGCTACGGTATTAGGTACACAGGCAATGGCAGTCACTCCCAACCCTCCCCCAAAACAAAAACAGTGATAGCTCATGTGATATATCATGCCAACCATACACTATAAGACTGAGTAATTTGGTTTTTTTTATCTTGGGGACAGCCAGCACGCAATCATCATCAGTCGCATGGCACACCTGCTTTTTTACTTGTATGTATAGTCTACATTGCGTCATTCAACCTTTGGACACAGGTAGAAGCAGGCCAGGTACCTCCTGGAGGTATCTGAGGCAACTGCCTTGATGCCCCTGGTCTTTGCCTCAATGTCCATTGAAATGTCCTGACAGACAGGCTGAGTTTCTAACACGAGTGCCCTTCGCAAATGAGACATTGCCTTGCCCAAAGTTCCTGCCCTGCAAAAGGTTCATAAGATATTCCTTATACCTGCTCCTCATACACACTATGCGTACAACAACTGGTGAATCCATTACATGTACCAGCATTGTGCACATGTACATGTACCACGCTGCCGCAGGTGTTTATTAGTAATGACAGGAATGAGCCATTTAAAGTTAGGGCAATTTAACCACAATTCGTAACCTGCCAAATCAGTTGCATCGTGTGCAGGTTCAGTCTGTGGGGGGGGTGGGATGGTCATTTCCTTTGCCTTCTGGTTCATAACCTCGTAGTGTGGTTACAGCAAGGCAGGTGTTATCAGGTCAGGCATGGACTGTAGGATAGATATTGCTACTGACACTGACAGAAATTGCCTTTTTGTTTCTTAGCTCTCTTCACTGACAGCCATTCTTTCAATTTCCAGGTCTGACATTTAGAGAAGGCCATAAGAGAGTGATACATGTAGCCTCCTCCCGAAATCATGAATATGTAAACTGTACACAAGTCTACCAATCACAGGCCAATTTTGCCAAGCAAAGATATGGGTTACCAGCCAAGGCTAGTAACTCATATTTTGGCTGGTAACCCATGGCTGTGGCTGGTTACTGGCTGCATCACCCTAAGTCAGGGTGTATTGGCAAAAGTGTTTAATCTGCTGTTGATTATCTTAAAGAGCACCTCTCTGATTCTATCTGCTCAAATAAATATGGAATCATCCAAATCAAATGCAGTGTCATTTGTCTTCAGAGCTCAACTATGACAAGCTTAAAAGGGCTTTTTTTCTGTTCACGCCATGATGTGAATTCTGAATGTAGATTGCATCATTCGGAGAAAACGAGGGGAACCCTCGCCCTGTGTCCGTTGTGGATAAACAATGTGCATGCCAAATAATATATGTAGCCACTGTTTGGCATGCACAAGGGTTTATCCACTACAAACACAGGGCGAGGTTTTCTCTGAATGATGCAACCTACGATAAGAAGCAAGATATTAGATGGAGAGAGCCCTCCTCCTTTTGTTGGTCATTGTTTCACTGGAATCTGAGGAATTCTTTCCCGACATCTAGGGGGAAAGTTTTAGGTAACAACAGTCTAAAGTATAGTACAGCGATTGGACACGTTGGGGGCGTACCACCGAGCCTCATTTCTTGCTGGATATACAACCTACATTCAGAATTTGAATCTTGGCATGAACAGAAAAAAAGCCCTTTTTAGCTTGTTATAGTTGAGCTCGGAAGACAAATGATACAGCATTCGACTTGCATGCCTCCATATTTATTTGAACAAGTAAAATCGGAAAAAAATTGTTTTCTTTACAGATGCTCTTCGACCAAATTTGGTCCTTATCTCAGCCACATTGATCCCTTCCAATCTCCTTTGAACACACTCTCCATTTTCTGACAGAATTGTTCTTTATGAAATCAAAGGAATGAATCATTTCTTTTGAAACACAACATGTTGGAGCCTGTAAGTGTTCTCCTTTTTTTCTCGGTTGATGGCTTGACATTTAGCCTGCACAGTTTCAGCGAACACAGTTCAGAACGGGGTAAACATTGCAGAGGTATCAAATGCACTGCTCTGTGGCACAGTTGACAGGGCACGTGCCCCGCATTATGACGCCTTCATACCCAAATCCACGACAATCACAGTCCTCCAGAGACCATCAATGTACTCAATTTACATCTCAATTACCTATTGTGCACAACAAAGAGAGAGCTACATTCCAATACTGCAACAAAACCTCATAATCCCTTTCCCTAATAATCCAAGAATACGGATTTAATTCTGAATGCTGGGGGGGAGGGCACAGTATAAAAAAAATTACAACAGAACAGACAAAACAAAGCAACATGACAGGAGCAAAACAAGATGCAAAGGAATCAAAACTAATCAGATCTGTTCAACAGAGGGCGCTATGCACATTGTCACCCAGGATGTAAACTTTACTTTGACAAGCACTCCACCTCCACACACAACACTGCTTTAAGCTTACCTGGCATACACAAACAGGCTGCCTTCAATATCCGTCTTCTCCTGCCAATGAACAGAAACCAACACCAACCAACTGTAAAATTATAACTGGTACACAAAGCCAAGCATATTGTTTGGCTTACACTACACAGTACTACAAAATACTAAGTAATAGTCTGAGCCTGAAGGACCTAGCACTGCAAATTAGTACTTCTGGCTAGGTTACTTCCATTGTTACTGATACAGAGAACAATTTAGCCATGCATTCATAGTGCCAGAGCACTGTATGATACATTGTCTTATCTATTGTATTGTATGGCTTCTGAGAACAATAAGGTCACGTCCTCTTACAAGCGACACCGCTCAGTACTACATTTTACTACACGTAGTAATTTGTAGTATTATGTAACAAGAAAACTTCCAAAACAAGTGTAAAGAACGGACAGAAAACATACAAGTACAGTCTTGTTTGCCAAATTCTGTCCTTCCTAAAACAACTCAGCCCTGTCCAGGAAACTTAATATAGTGCATGCACTCTTAGTGAATGCACTGACATGAACTCATCCCAGCCATCAGTATATGCCCAGTTTTCACCTTAATGTGCACAAAAGCATACTGTCACACTGTCCACACACACCAGCAGTCGTGGCCTGACCAGTCCCCACTGTGGGAGCAGAAGTTTGTTCCCACAATGCCTTTGTCCCCACACTAACTATTGCGGCACATGCATGTAGTCCCCTAAATAACAATGCTGGTGTATATCGTTCAATTGTCTGTCACATCTGTCTTACTGACTACCGGAGGAAGAGTACTTTTGTAGGGTCCATAAAATAGGGCTGTTAAGTGGTGTTAAGTTCATCACTGCTTTAATGTGGAGTCAACTTGATTTTGAAACAGTGGAACAGTTCTTGGTACATGTGCACCAAAGTGGGTAAACATACCCCGTATATGGCACTTGAAACCTTCACCATGTACAGTATGATCTAACAAGAAAGTACAACACACATTGTACCATAAACATTCCACTTGAAAAAGGGGATGGGTCATGAGCTACATATACATGTACTGGTATTTGTGCACTCCAGCCAGAACAGTCATTGCTTTTAGTCGAATCAATGAAACGTTCTTTACAAACTTTCAAGACCTGTGGAATTTTAATATGTTCTGTTTAAACTTTTAGAAAAACTCATCAACAGATTTAAAAAAAAAATCATACAGTAAGTGTACCGGTATGTAATCGTATTGTAGCCAACCCTAGTGCCCTCTCCTCCCCATATTTTGAATCTGAATCTGCCTAATCTTTTCGATTCCATTGTTGTGTGAAAACAAAGTGACACATTCTTTGCCTATCATTTCCATCAGGCATCCAAACCCATGTAGAATATCCATAGCTGCCTCTTTTCTCCAACACCTCCTTACAAAAAGTTTGCATAGCTGCCATCTTGTAGGCCGGTGCTTTTGTTCCACAGGGTATGCACAAAGGAGGTTTTCCTGTGGAACAAAAGAACTGCCCCACAAGATGGCTCCAATGCAAATCCTCTATAGGGGATCTATGGGCTGGTGTTACTGAACACTAGATGTACTACCGATAGTTCGGTACTCTCACTCAGGTGAGTTTACACAGAAGCTGCCAGCCAGGAAATGGTTTGTAACACTTTGCTGTGTTCCTATCAGAAGTTCGGACTTGTATTCTTGATCATTAACCCCACATGTGTCTCCCTGGGGTGACACATACAATCATATTGAAATCAGAGGATTTAACTCCAATAGTGTTAACCCGAACCATGCTGAATCCAACACTATTCTGATTTTGAGATTTCAATGGTCCTCAGGGGATCAGAATTAACTTTATTCCTCTTGGTCTGCTGGTGTACATGTAATAGGACTTGCAAAAGAGAAGAATTTATTTGCAGGTTGGAAGAAAAATAAACATCCAGTATTTATCTCTATACGTAATATTAAAGGTCTTACAATCAACATTTGTCTGACTACAAAGCTTGAACACTAGAGGGCCTGACATTATGATCCTTGCAGAGTATGTCTCAAGTACACAGCCATCCCTCCCCCCAATGAATTGTCACAAGAATGCAATTTTTGACATCCTGTCAAGTACTTTCTATCCGGCTATCATCCAATAGTATATCATGCAATGCAGTTCATTCAAATTGCCTGTCTTTTCCCTGTATTATGAAATTCCTATTGATACCTGTTGTAGTTTTTAATACAGTGATGACCAACATTACTGCCATGGTAACATGCTTCATCTTCTCCATGGGTCAAAATGAATAAGCATCGCTGAGCATGTACATCAATCAAAATACTTGTGCTTCTGATCATCATACATTTATTTTCAACACAAGCTCGAGTTCTTTTTAGCCTCATGAATGAGATGGATTACTGTGAACACGGTGAAAATGCTTATTCAAAACAAGTTTCCTGCGCTGTAGCTTAGTAAACTGTTGGCTGCTACACATATGGCGTGTAGATCATTTTTCACACCACGCCCACGGCAGTCTGCTATTGCTAACATGTACCATTTTCCCCTGAACATACATACTGCACAACTGGGAAAGAGTTTTCATACTATTTTCTGAGTAAATTAAATGCTTCTACGGAATTTTCTTACTTGTTAGGACAGGTCATCCCTTTCTTTTCTGATGGCTATTACAACAGTCTCAGGGAAAATTAGTGTTGTCGGCATATGGAAGTCTTTCCCACAACTGAGTGTATGCAGTAAATACTATCACTAGCATGGCATCCGTCATGTCAGTGGTTTCGCACACGTTGGCTGCACAGCGGCACTGACTTGTGCGCATGGTAATGACATTATAAAATGCATTGTCAGCTCCACTTACCGTCTTACGGTACAAAAACATCAATGCTTATGGATCGATGCCAATATTCCCGAAATGCCGAAGCACTAAACTTACCCATTCATTTCCCTCTGCATTGAACGTGTACAGAGCTACCTGACTAGCCGTCTGTACGATGTTTGTGATGTGTGGATCACACTGCTGTAAAGCTGCAAGGTTCATACGATCTTCAGCTTTACTGTCGGCCGCCATCTTGCTTTAGTTTCTGCTGTCGCAAACTTGACGGTGTGAATTCAAAAGAGGGCGCTCTTTCAAAACAAACGCACGTGGCCGGCCGGCTGGCGGCGCGGCGTAGTTCCACTGCATGAAAGTTATCGAAAATACTGATAGTAGGCCTATGCGTCCACGAAAATCAGAACCTCGCTTGGGAGATTAAGTGGTCAAGCACAACCAAAGATCAAATCTCTGTTAGTTTTCCCGGAGACAGCTACTGCACTTTTTGCTCTTATATTTTTCTCTTCCCAAACCAAGTCCTAAATTCTCGATCTACGTAACTGTTAATTGCAATCACTCCTGTGGAAATGAACTTGTAAGCAACAAATTAGACTTGAAATTGTTCGTACCGTGCAGGCACGTCAGCCTTGTCACGGTTAGTCAGTGAAAGACTTCAGTTTCATAATGATTTTTTGTTTAACACAATTACATTTTGTAACAGTCCTAAACTTTAGTAAGTTCCCACTGGCAACGCAAAAACTGCTCGCAAAGCAACACTGAGGACTTGCATTTGATTTCTGCAATTTAATAATAACCCTTTCAACTTTGAAGCATGCCGTTTAATTCGCCCTTGGAATTTCAATCCTGTTCGTAGTTTTTATCTGTCTTTTTTCCGTTCTCGAGTTCAATGATAGCAAAACCTGTTACTTCACTTTTCTTCATGCTATTTTATACCATCTCTTCACAATAAACAAAAGTGGAACTAAAAAAAAAATGCTTACTGATTTTCAAGGAGTGGTGGCGTGCTCACGCACACCACTCCTGTTAAAAACCGATCTGTTCCTCGTCACGTCAGTAAATGCCTCGAAGCCCCGATGACTAGCGGGCGATGGAGTTGCAAATATGGACTACGTGACTCAAACACCGCGAACATCTCACACGGCAGATAACTGATAAAACAGACTTGTACGGATATCTGGCTGAGCTGACAGTTTGATAACATGAATGTAGCATTCTATGAATCACATGCTCTGAAAAATATGTCTTGAGTGCAGTAATTTCAAATAGCTGGCACATAACCGACTTTTAAAGTCATTTTATTCACACATTAAACTTTAAAATCAGAACTGCCCCATTCCATATACTCCCGTAGATAAAAAATAAACCCCCTATCTATTCCTTTTCTTTTACCAAAATGATGTTTATTCCCACCGTCTGTTCACCAGCTATTAATCTACCACCAACTATTCATCATCTTTGAATGCCCCAAGATGAAACCCACTGTCACATTTAGGTCTTCGTCTATCTTCACCATTTCAAAGGCATCACTTACACCACGTCTACATGTGTGATCACCATGGCATCATGCGAAAGAGTATCGGCAGAAGCCCTGCAGAGCCATAGTAATTTGTGTTCCTCATTGTACCCAACCCAGTCTCCTTGTTATCTTTCTTAGCACTCAATATTCTGCCCAACCTTTGACCGCTACCCATCTCGCTGGCAACATCAATCTCAAGTATTCTTGGAATGACAGGAGCAAAATGCCCGGATGTACTCATAATACACGTTGAACTGTGCCCGTAATTTGCCGTGCACATCATGCATGTTGCATGTAAAACGTACACAACGCGTAAACATGGAGCATCGCTGAAGGATTTACTGTCAAAAAACTGCGGAATTATCGACCTTTTTTCATCCCTTTCCAAACCCGAAGGCCAGCGCCATGGATAAGTTTCGAACTGGTAAAAAATTAAATGATATCTATGTGGTTGTATTTGTTGCAGTGATTGGAATAGTGTTTTTGAGACTGTTTTTGGCTGATTCTTGGTGTTTTACCGAGGTTTGGTCATTAGTGCTGGTAAGGTCATGTGCAAATGCCGGGCGGGTTGCCGGCAGAGTTACCACGCGCTGTGAAGCCTGCGCCTGAGGCTGGTTTTTCCCATGTTCCGGCGAGTGGTCACTTATGTCAAGCTATGGCAGTAACAACAACGATTCCTTTATTTTCCTGCAGTTTAAGATCACCAGTTTGCTCTCTTCTATGAACCGTGCGTTTTTCTCTGTTGATTTTTAAGCCAGTTTATTCATTTTGTTGAAATTCCCATAATGAAAAGGTCAGCCGGGATGAATGTACCAGTACCACCAGGGTCTGAGGTCCACCCTGCTCCTGTTCGTGATCAGGGTGGATGTTGGACCCCACAGTTCTGGGGTAGGATGAATGTTGAGATAACTCTGTGAAATTCAGTCTTTGAGCTTTATTCATCTGCCAGTTTGATGCCAAATGTACCATGTAGGAAAGGGTTACACGAACATCACTTGATGCCATGTACACAGACCCTGTGAGACTGGTCTGAAAAATCTTTAAGTATTTTCTGAATAATATCTTCAATAGTTTCCTTGCTAACTTGACATTTTAGAACATGTTTTCACTTTCTGATGGCTGATATATGTCACTGCAAGGAAAAATCAGTCATGTCTGTATACGGATTAAAATGTGGTGTACGGTACTTGAACTTGTCATAGACACCAAACATGATGGACGTGATGAATGGGTCAATTATACGTCTGCAGTAAAAATTATAAGTAGGCCTGTGTAAATATTGAATTTCCTGTGGTTGCCTGTATGAAGCCTGATTTTGTGCAGTGAATTTCCATTTAATTTGTAATATAGAAGCCATCCTAATTGCTATAAATCACTACAAAAAATGAAATTGGTCATTAGTCTTGCAGCACTTGTGTTTCAACCATGATAAGGATCACCTGCTGTTTACGTATTGTGACAGTGTTAAAGCTTACAAGTACATGTAATTTGTTTTCATCAGGTATTTTCATTGGTACATAAAGTTGGACCATGGTTGGACTTTTCTCTGTGTAACTGCACATGCACTGGTTGGCGATTTTGCCTATTTGTTGGCCCATCTACATGTATGTACAACAGTGAACAATAGATAATTATGCACTGAATGAATTACATTCTTTGAATGCATTGTTTGATGAAGTTGACCTTTGGTTTGCTACTTGGGTGAGCGTCAACAGGCCAGGTCAAATGTAGGCTTTCTCAGGGAAACAGGGATTTTATTTCAAAAGGCACTGGGGTACCTTTGCGTCAGTAGCTACATGTACATGTAGCATGCATCCTCCTGGCAGAGTAAATGGAACTAATCACATTGTTTGAGAGAGGAGGCAGGTAGTTGACGTGGGAAGTGTTGAAATGCTCACAACCTCAGCCAATCGGATTTGCCGTTTCTGATCGAGGCGAGGTGTTGCGTGACCTTGCCCTTCTAAGCACCACACATCCAAATGTTAGTCTTGTCCATACCTTAAATCACGGGATGCTGTGAAAAAGAGAACTCACCCCATAACTGCAAATTGAAGTGTGGGAGTATTTTGCCCTTTTTGCTTCTCTTTTTCACAAGTCGTTTTCAGAATTTCCCAGTTCGAGGAAGGTTGAGGCCAGCTAGTATCGCTAATTGAAGCATTTGCATTGCACACATGCCTACACAGAGTATGAGAAAACACCAGATTGCCACATTGACCAAGTCATGTTTATCGTTCACCACCTGTTTTCCTGTTTGCAGTGGTCCACAATAATGTCGCGGCTGCCACAGCCAGCAGCGGAACCTACGTCAGCGGCAGCGCTAGTACCCCGACCCCTACCACCGCCTCCCCTACGGGCCTGCCTGCCACCACCAACGCCCCACTCAGCTCGGCTTGGAGAACCACGCTGGCCGCCACAACCACAGTCTCCACAATGAACAGGAGACGGAATACTTACAACAAGAAGAAGCAACACTCAGGAACTTCACTGCGCCCCCCGAGGGCGCTCTTTTGCCTTACGTTGGACAACCCCGTGCGGCGGATGTGCATCAGTATCGTCGAATGGAAATATCCTTTTCAATTCTAAGAATTCTGTGTTACTAAAGAAAAATAAGTGAGGTCTGTGTAAAACGTAGTGGTGTATTCTGTTTACAGTGGTACTGGAGTTCAACTTGCAAACTCCCCCTTGTCCAAAACACACATCAGCACCTTCAGAACATGAACACTGCACATAAAGATCTGTATTGGCATTCCGTGCAACCTGATTATTCTAGAATTTCTTTCTTTTTCGTCGAGAAGTTACCAAAGTTCTACTGGTAGTTATGTGAAGTCGGTTACAGGTTGCTGGTCCCATAGTTTGGAACTGGTTCCTGTCATCAACGGTCTGGTAGTCACAGGTACCTGGTTCTAATATAAATCCCTCGTAAATGTTGCTGGTACATGCATGTAGGGCACCACTGTATACATGTTGTCTGTAGACAGGTGTATCCTCTTGAGTGACATAATGACAGTCTGTGGTTATAATCCAGTGCAGTTTGGTAGTTTTGCTTGGCAGCCATTGCCCAAGCGAATGTGCTGCAGATCAGCGAAATTACAACGTGTACATGTACTCTGTGTGCAAATGTGCATGAACAACCATGCACATGCGGTAGGCGGATTGCCCTCAGGGAGGTTGTTGCTAGGAAAACATAGACCATCTCTCTCTCTGTTTCTTTTGCCTTTTTTTTTTAACCATGGCCTTACGCAACCATGAGTTTTCACATATTTCGTAATCAACCAAAGTACTTGTACGTGTACATGTACTTAGTTTACGTGCACCAAAAATGCATAGTTTCTGCAATGCTCTGTAGCCAATTTGTCAACGCTTTCTTGTACACTGTAAATCCATTTCTTCATATTTCTCCATTCATTCTGTTTTACATGTTCGTGGTCAGTTCCCCTTTCCCCGAAGCTGTTTTTCTTTGTACCCAAATTTGCGAGCCTGGATTTTGTCTAAATAAATCCTGCACTGTACATTGTACATGAACTTTGTGCAGAACATACATTTCATAAACACTTATGTGCATGCAGTGAGCTCAGTGATCGACAGCGCTCATGTTTCACGATGAAGAAAGAGAGTCTTTACAATGCAATTTCCTTTGTCAAATGCACGTTCGATTGGTACCAAAGTATAAATTAGTCTGTTTATATTGCAGAATTTTGAAACAAATGACATGGACCCCCCCAAAAGGAGACCCAAACAGGGAATGATTGCGTATGTTTCTCAGGCATGCACTGTATTTGCATGTTCAAAATATGAAACAGATCACGTTAAAAGGTGACGTACGGAGGCTTCTTGTAAACACACTTACATGCTGATCGGATCTAATCGTCATCTCGTTGTGGCAGATAGCAAATAGTACATAAATTATGAATATTAAATACTCTATTATTGTTTGGGCAGCGTAACTGTGACTGTGCTGCACAGATGTGAACTCAATGGACACGCTGGATTAAGGCCGGTTTTCCTCCAAGGCCACCACATGCTGCAATGTGATTGGTTTTAATTATTACTGCACTTTTTGTTAAAACGCATGTCAGATTTTCATCATTTAGATTTTTTTCATACGTGTGCTAAGTTTTATTTTGAGCCTTCAGACATTTGAGCTTTATTTTTGTGTGTATACGGGGACCCAGTATAAAATCAGTTTTAAAAATGTTTGTTTTGGCCTTGGATGAATAAGGAATACCTTGGTATAAAGAACACATGCAGGTACATGTGCATTGCACTATATGCATGTTGTACAAGGGAATAAACATGTGCTTGGCCGGTCTTTAACCCTAACAGTCCTGAATCCTCCAATTTAAATATGATTTTGCATACACCCTAGGGAGTTAAGGTTAACGTGTGTTTAAGACCTGCCAAGTACATTTTTATTCCCATTCAAAAATACCTTTTTATTCAGAGAGTCAAAAAGAAGTCAATATATGATGGATTTCCAACAATATTGTTCTAAATTTTACTTTCATTTTCCCAAACACCCCCGTCCATTTATGGTATATTCCTTTTGAAAGTTGTCGAATAGAATCTCCTTGTATGTGGACTTGGTGCACGCGTGGCGCGTTCTATGTCTTGTGTCGCACGCAGACTCATGACCAACAGGGATGGAGTAAACTGTCTCTTATCCATGTGCCAGCGCGTGTTTTACGCAGCGGGCATTATCACCTCTCAGCGGGCAGTTTCAAATGTGAATACATGGTCAAGTTGCACGTTGTTGAATAGGGAAACTGTCTGAGGTATTTTTGATTGATATTTTAATGCATAGTTTATACACTGGTAAGCACAGGGTTTTGATGCTGTTGGGGTTTATTTTCTACAGAGAGATACTTGTGGTTTTTGAAAAGCAATGAAAATGATTACACCTGCCAACACAAGCAACTAATTAATTCATTGGACATAAATCCTTTTGCTAAAATTTTGTGCAGAGAAAATATGAAATCTTGACAAACTGGGTCTAAAAGAATGAAACAATTCTTTTTCTGTGGTCTTCTAAATGATGTAGAATGTAATGGACAAAGAAATGGCTCTCCTTTAATTGTGTACGAAAGCTGCTATGAGTACAGTACACGACATGTACTGTGTTTGCTGTTTTGTTTCTGAACAATGCAATCCTGATGAGGCAACAATTTAATGAAGCCATAATGTGACTCATTTTCCTTGTGCTGCAAGGCGAAGCAGGTTCTTTGTGACGTGAACTTTTTATGTAGTTTGCCACCATAGCAACCATTTTTGCTTGAACATATTTTCTGAATCCTCTGCCTTTTTCCAAATGTTGGTCAGTTATGGCTGCAGCTTCATCTTGATGAGTAACTGCATGTGTCTGCTGTATGAAATGGAGCCACATGAAGCTTTGGAGGTTTGAACTCAGGACTAAACTCAGGAAACTGAAACACAGACACTGAAGACATGGGTGCCTGTGTTTTCGGCGGAATGTGTACAAATGTGTCATGTGAGAGCATCACACCTGGGCTTGACAAATTATTGCTGTTAGTAGTGCCCCTTTTTCTTTTCCCACCCCTGTTGAGACTGTGTGCATATGGCCTCGGCAGCGGGGAAAAAAGAAAGACGAAGACATCATTTTTGGAGCCAGATAACCGAGAAAGTTAAGATCTAGGCTAGTGTACAAATCAGAATTAGAGTTGGACGAGAAAGCGGAGAAAAATTTGTGCATTCAGAAAGACACACGACTGGATGTTTGTGGCAAGAGGGAGCCTTTTTTTGGGGGGGGTTGATATTTTTGTATTGTCTGATCAAGTCTTTGAATTTCGCCACACATCGGTCCGAGGAAGCCGGGGGGAGGGAGGGCGGGAATGTCTTCAGTGTGTGTTGCACAGCAGGGAATTTGTGATCGCAGACACACAGTGATTCTGCAAACAAACGGTCCAACCTCCATGCCCCTTGCTTCTGTACAGGCCAGCCTACATGTATGTACATGTACTTACCAAGGATGTTCACTGTAGTACAAGAGTTAATTGAAGTCCCACTTTGTAGACCCCATCAACTTAGAAGCGGTAAGGAAAGATGTACGTAGATGTACACATGTTATCTCCATCAGCATAATTAAGATGAAGTGGATTTGTTATGCGCACTGGATGTGGAAGAATGAAAGTGGCAATCTTAACAGTGTATATAATTACTCATCGGTTTAGAATTGAAAGTAAACATTTTGGCAGGATGGCCACGTGGTGTTTTCCTCCTTTTTTGGCTAAGTTGCATTCATTGAAAAAGAAAGACGAAGACAAAGACAAAGAACACTGAAATGATTAAAAAAACGTAGTGAATCTGGGTATTCTGGAATTTGTTTTGAAATGATGATAATGTGTTTCTCCATTTCTGGCTGTTGTATGATCGTACAACAGTAACCCTGTGAAATGCTGTTGGTAGAATATTTAATTGGACATCAATCAGAAATGTTTGACTTTCTACCGTATGGTTTTTAGGAGAGATCTTTGTCACAGGAGAGATCCAGGCAAAGGCCACTATGTTACCATTACTCTAGCAGTGCTTTCCTGATGTTTTGTTTGTAACCAGCGCTATTCCACAACCTGTTATCACCATGAAATCATAATGGCAGCTTTAATAGTTCTTTTTTTTTGTCGTACGCAATTCAGTTGCCGACTGAATTTACACAAAGCCTGACGTTACTTCTGACAGAGTAATGAATTTGCTTTATAAATGGGATCTGCACATGTTCAGTACAATGCTTGTATGTGTACAGTAAATATATATATCCTGTTACTCGGGATCCCTCCCGGAGCAATTGGCAATTCAAAGTACTGCTGAACTGTAGCTCCCATCAATGGAAGCACGAGTGGCTTCGTCGGAAAAAAATGTTGGAATGTATGGTCTTTGCGTCATCTGTGCACCATGTGCCAAGTGGAGATTTGTTGCCCACCAGCCTGCCCTTTTTTTTTGGCAGCGAGAGGATACTTTCAAGTCAAAGCCAGTTGGACGGTGGAAGCATTTTGCCAGCTGTTGCTCTAGGGAAAAAAACGCTATTGTGTTTGGCCATTCTTGACAAGTCTAGCCAGTGGTATACCTCTGTCATTACCAGAGGCTGTCTGAGTGTGCAGTCATCCTGTGCTGTTTTCTCTTTTTGAACATTTACATGTATCCCTCATCTCAGGTCAAAACTGTCAACTCATGCACTGGAGGGGCCACTGTCCGTCCAAATTCCCTCCCAGCAATATTGTCCTAAATTCCCAGAATGCACTCCGGTTGCATCAGTCATTTTTGGAGCTTTGCCATTGTAAAATTAATTTGTCGACGTCAACATTTCTTTAGGGAAACCGGAAGAATGCCCAACTCTCAGATTGCATGGTACCCGGCCTTGCCGAGATGGCAGTCAGCGACTGGCTAGGGGTATCATTATGAGAAACGACAGACTCATGTGGTGTACTGTAGATCCTCCAGCAGAACCTGAGCCATCACACTGGGCTCAGTAAGGATCCGACCCCATTTGCTTGATAAGCATGTCCTCGTCTCTCCTACCCCCCCCTCCTTAATGGATACAATAACAAACTACTCC